GCTCAGAGAACCTCAAGGACTCCACAGTTCAACCCTGAGCTACATATATTCTCTTCTATTGTTATTAACTCAATTAAATTTGAGGATTAATTAGCCATCTTTCTCATTCTGTGTGGGTGCAAATAAAATCTCTAGGCACAGAAACCCCACGGTCTCTTCACTAGCCCGCATTCAACTAGCTTCTTAAGTGTATTTATTTTCCATCCACCAGCACTGAAATGGTATACACAATTTAAAGTAATAAACTGAAAGATTTGTTCTCTGTAGTATGGAAAGTGAATTTCATCTTTAGGAATAGAGATTCTTGCATGATAACAATGACAGAACAGTCAACCCCCCCCCTCCCCTTTATAGCAGGCAGCCAAAAAACTAGCAGGAGCAGGACAGCTGATAAGCCATCTCTTTGTTATCTCCCTTTTTACTTGTCCTGGTTGCCAAGTTTTAAAGAGAATTTAAACAAAAATCTTCAAAAGCAGTGGGAAAAATCCAAAGCAACTAAGTTTGTTGCATTTATGTTTGAAAACCTTAGAAGAAAATGAAGAAAACAATCCACTGGCAATATTTATTTAATATAGTTTAAACCTTTTTAAAAGATACTGGTCACACTTTTAAGGGTATTTTCCATTACTATAGTTTCCATGGAGAACAACCACAAATTCTTATAACTTGGAATATTTCTACTAGCCCCAACTCTGAGAGCAAGCAACAGCATTTAGAAGGATAATTCTCTCTTTATCAGCCCAATTTTTTCTTGCTCATTTATAGCTAGAACATTATTTATATGGATTTAAAAAGGCATTTTACTATTTCTCTAGAGAGCAATAGAAGGAGCAGTTTGTGAAACTATGTACTTTGTTAAGTTAACTTTAGTTGGAGACATTTTGTGTTTCACAGAATTCTTCACTGTCTAATTAAAAGTTCTGTGAATCTGAAAAAAATTCATTCTGTCCCTTACAATGCTCATTGTATCACTTTTGGAAATAGCTCAGGCTTGTGGAAATGCCTGATGTTGCTGACTTGTATTCCTTTTTACTTGAACAAAGGGAACTCATTTCAATATGGTACTTTGGTCATTAATTCTACTTCATGTAATGCCTTCCCTTAATTTACTTTATTCAAACAAATAATAAACAATTTATTCAAACAAAATTGTTTCCAAACTTCAACAGCTTGGGGAAAAAAATCCTATTTCTGTTAGGAATAGAAATTGCAAAGTTTAAACCAAAAAAGCCTATGCAATCCATTAAACAAGTATGCCTACTAGGACATAGTTATTGCTTCAATATTATCATTCATCCAGTTCCAACATTTGTTTTCAATATCTACAAACACACCAGAGCCTGTCCTATGAGTTGAAATATGTTTAATGTCCCATGATGAGATAGAACAACAGTATGCAGAAAAAGAACATTAAGAGACATTTGGGGGCCATTCCATATTGAAGCCATTGTACGAATGTGCTTGGAGATGGACTTTTCTGATTAATTTGTTGTCGTTATAATGCCGACCCTTCCCTGATACTTCAGTGATCTGGCAAGGGAAGTCATTGTAATTACTAGATTTCACAGACCATTTATTTGGAAGAGCAAAGATATTAAAATATGGGCCAAAACCATTTAGAACATTTTTGACATATATCAAGGGATAATTTGATTGAATATTGCAATTTTGGATACACTGAGTCTGGCATTTATGAGGTGTAAGTACATAAAGCAACTGTGACAAAAAAGAAAGAAAGAAAGTGGTAAAAAGGTACTGGATTTATGAAAATGTTTATATGGTTAATTAAATAACACTGCCAAAACAGTTCAGCATAACAGTTAAGACTGAAGATTATTGTGATTTTAAAAAATAAAAAACCAAACCAAACCAAACCGAAACCGAAACCGAAACCAACAACAACATATGCAGCCAAGCAAATTGAGGATACATTCAAATGGAGATCCTGAATTGGCTATGCCTAGCTCTTCTGTCTAGGGCTATTTAATAGAATTAACTAGCATACATTTTCATGCTTGTTTAAGATAACAAACAAGATCACTATGAAGCAACCTAGCTGTGGAGTGCGTTGAACTCTCTGGGAAGGGGACACAGTTACACCACTTCTCACATCAAGAGACAGCACACTGTCTGCTCTTCTTCCATCAATGAAATGAAGACAGCACTAGTCGATTATCCAACTATCTCCCATCCTTACACGGTCTAGATCCATTATCTGCTTAGCTTCAGCAGTATAGTTGCATGAGGTACTACCAAACCATAAACAGTGGGGGAATAAAG